TGTGTGTGTGTGTCTGTGTGTGTGTGTGTGTGTGTGTGTGTGTATGTATGTATGTATGTATGCATGTAGGCCTGAATGTACAATTCCGTTGCAGTAGTAGGTTGTCTTTTGTTCGACACTACGTATCTGCTTGAACACCTAAATCGGCAAAAGGGCCTCTGCTGACACAAACATATGTTCCATTTAGCGCTGGTCTGATTTCTTCCTATTTTAAACTACGCTCAGACGAGTGACCAGTCGGTGGCCTCCTTGCTTACAGCCATGCTGCAGATGTCCAGAGATTCCGTCGGTTGCGTTCCTTCGCACTTGGAGACCGATCAAGGTAGGTATATTTCCACCCAGTTTTTAGAAAGTCTGTATCGTTCCGTCACTTGTATCGAGAGGTGTGTCTTCGGTTGCCTATCCTAATTCTCGGATACTAGCACAAGGGCTGGTTTCATCTAGGGAGACGGACCTTGGTGTAAATGTCGGCCCCAATTCTAGAGAACCGCACTTACTATACACCCTTATTCGGATGAACTTTGGCTGATGTCTAGTATATACATCTAGCCTATCCTACCACACTGTGGGATTGGGTAGTGATTTCACGCCTTGGTATATCCGACTAGTTAGGAGAACAGAAAACCCACTCTTGCTAACACCGCGAGATGAAATGCGGTAGGGGGTGTGGACTATACATTGCCGCAAAAACACTGATTCTCCGCCCACAGAATCTCAATTAGAAACCAGCGCCCAGGACGCGCAGTTCGGAACGCGTTCGATTTAATTATTAAACGGAAACTCTATCGTGACTGTCTATGGGCAACGTTTTATAGTTTAAGCACGCACACACGTTTCAGAAGCCAAGCCTAGTCGTACAAAGCTATTGGTGATGGTGTTTGAGTCAAATACATATGCGCTATGCTTGTCTGAGTCAAATACATATGCGCTATGCTTGTCTGAGTCAAATACATATGCGCTATGCTTGTCTGAGTCAAATACATATGTGCTATGCTGATGCTATTGGTGATGGTGTCTGAATCAAATACGCATGCGCTCTGGTGATACAACGTGGCACATATTCTCTTGCGGCTGCACCGCTAGACACACGAGTTAAACGTGGAGCGAACGTTTCGTGCATTTTATGCATTTCATGTGTAAATGTCGCGTTATAGCCACCTATTCCACATATATCCGGACGTACATGTGATAGTCTCAGTTGTTCCCACGCACGACCGGCACCGTCCACAGGTGGAATCAGTTTCTGCGTTGACGAATTCGAAACCGGCACGATATGCGCCCTCTTCCATGACCTGAGTGTTCCTGAAGATTTAGGGTATGTGTATGTCTACCCCACACATGTTAGTATTGTTTACTGTGTTGTTTGCGATTTTTTTTTGGGTTTTCGAAAGGAGCGTGTTTGTATTGTTAGCTGGCTTGATTAAGTTTACCCCACACGTGTTTGTATTGTTTACTGTGTTGTTTGCAAATTTTTGTTGGTATTTCGAGAGAAAATTGCGATCATATATACGGCAAGCGTCCACGGCCTGTACAATCGGGAGCATTTCTAGAGATCTTGGTGGTGTGTGTGGCACCAACGATCGCAGACAGTCTAAAAGTGACACCTTGTTCCAAAGTGTGGAGAGTGTTTTCTATGTTTCGAGTGCAGCTATAGCAATCAACCATGCATACATTGTTTAGCCCGCGCAAAACAGGTATCATGCACCCCCCCTTGCTGTCTGCACATCAGCGTTTATATGATCAATCCCAGCAGCGGCATTGTACTCGTCCCATTGGAGACACATCGGAGCATATAGCCATGTAGCCAAAGATACAAATATGGAAGTAGGAACTCATACTCACACGCGCACACACGCACGTATATATATATATATATGTGTGTGTGTGTGTGTGTGTATGTGTGTGTGTTGTGTGTGTGTGTGTGTATGTATATGTATATATTTATATATATATATATATATTGTTGTTGCAGTGAACTGTCAATCGCAAACCATTCAAATGATACTTTTTATGCACAGACATATACTGGCGTCGGAGATGCTGCATCTGTTCATCGAGGACAATCGGACCGTGTTAGTGAACACGGGACGGCCTAGTATGAGCTCTACATATGTATTTCCGGACCGGCGCATAGCCCAAACTGTGCGGAATTCGATGACAACGCTCTTAGACAATTGTAAGTACTTTTGCCGCGGTCGAGAACTAGTACATTCGAGGCAACCCATGTGGCCTGTTCCTGGTCAGATTCTAATTGGCTTGCTAATACTATTACGTTTCTACCGAAGCCGGATCTGCGGGAAACGTTTCATCGTTGGAAATCGCCTAAGCCGGCAAAACAAGCCCTTCTCACACCTTACTGGTAATAACATGCCTAGCCTTTAAGTTATCTCATCGCTGCACTTGATCTATATCACGCGTGTAAGCGTGTGGGCGTACTAGGGTGTGTATGTACGACAGTATGGCTGGGCACTATGCCATATGAGCATAGCTAGATACATGCATAGTTGTTTTATCAGCCATCGACGCTGGTGTGATTCGATTGGTGACGCCCGAGTCTGTGCATGCTATATGAAGCCACCGGTTAGTTATAGTTGTGTCACAAGTACCGTGCCAGAGCGTGCTGCTGTGCGCATGTGCAATCCTGATCTCCAAGGTGGGATTCCTATATGACGACAATATGTGCTTGATTAAGCGCGTATATGAAACGACTGACGAATACAACCTCTAACATTAGCCTGCTTCGAGGGCTGAAACACTCGCCCTTGAGTACGTCTCCCCAGCCTTTGAGGTCGTTTGTTGGCCAACTACGTTTTTTCCCACTCTCCCTTGATTAAATACATTTTATTCCCACTCTCCCTTAATCGACTACGTTTTTTTTTCCACTCGTCCTTGATTAACTACGTTTTTCCCACTCTCTCTTGTTTGACTATATTTTTTCCCACTCTCTCTTGATTAACTACGTTTTATTCCCACACTCCCTTGATTAACTACGTTTTATTCCCACACTCCCTTGATTAACTACGTTTTTTCCCACTCTCCCTTGATTAACTACGTTTTTTTCCCACTCTCCCTTGATTACAACAGTACAAGACGAACCGGGTATACGAATATGCGGCCTATCAAACCAGGACAGTTGCGACCCTTTCTTCACCCGAATTGCGGTGGACCAGCACGCATTCGATGCGAACATAACGGGAGTGATAGAAAGCGCCGCCTTTTTGTGTAAGTTGCATCACCTCCAACCTACAAGTGTCGTATTTTCACTCGTGTATCTACGCTGCTGTACATCACTGCATATCCTGTGTATGTCTAGCTATTCCACGTGTGCACACGCATGGCCCGCTTCTGCATCGCTTTGCCTGGCAGCACACCAACCGCTGGTCTTGGTGTCATACATAATGAGTGTGGCCGCTGTGGCATTGGCCTTGCACCGTCTTAGATTGCATTTGCATGTACATGCGATAGTGCATGCACAAGTCCGTGCACATACGCTTGCTGGAGCTCCGATGTATGTGCCTAGTGGGTCACTACTTATCTCAGTTTATTTTATCTATTTTCCCCATAACTAAACACAAATATTTCGATTTGTATCATTTTAGGAAAAGAAGGTAAGGAATGATAATAGCATTAGCTTAATTTTATACTGCACGAATACTCTAGCTGCGAGTGCGTGCGGCTGCGCGTGTACGAGAATGCGGATCTGACCACGCTCGCTTAGCGCGTACATTTCCCTTGAATAAAAGTTGTGCTCGATTTAGGAACTTGCAACGGGTGAGATTTTTTGCGACATACCCGCTTACCTGACCCGATCTTTCCCACATGCCTTCAGTGGGGAAACTCTGTGACGGGCTCGATAATATATCAATGTCAATGGGAGTCAGCACAGCCCATTGCACTAAGGTATGACAGTAAACAATTAACCGAAACACCGAAGCAGTACATGTGGGAGCACAAATCAGTGGCGAATGTATATACCATCAATGCATCATGTGAGATCATGGGATATCCTTCACATGTCAATCACAGTGTTCAGCTGATGCATCCGTAGGTGCTAGAACGGTGTTTGCACTTTAGCGGACTTTGCCTTGATTGCAGCTCAGCTGATAACCTCAAGGGCCCCGGTTGCTCAAGGGGCTGTAAGCAACTCATCGGTTATTCAACATTGCCATGGCTAAATATGCATGCACACGCATATGCACATGCATTGGTGTGCAATACTCTTTTCTACAGGTCGATGAAGAGCAATGGTTCGTGGTGGTGGCGGACAACGTACTCTCCAATATAAGCAGTGTCAGACAAACAGCCGATGTTCTGAAAAAGGGTATGTGAATTGATTCTGTATGTTTGCAGATGTTTGCAGCTTTAAATTAGTGGTTCAACTGGATTGCGATATACAGTTCATCTGGACGCAAATCGAATACACCTATAAAACAAAATCAAGCCCTGCAAAGATCCAATAACACTGCACTTGTAGCGCGTGTGTATCCATCTTAGATAGAAATCGGGTATGCAACTCCAATGGTTGATTTCGGTCTTTCGAAGCCGCCAATCAGTTATCGTATCATTCATGCTGGATCGTTTGGCCACATTGCAGATGGCAGTTATGTTCGACACTCTCACCTTTGAATCTCCGATAGGCATTTGTTCTCATTGCATCCTCCGTGTATGCTAGACGATTTTTATCCCGCGGGTGTATGTGCAATTTTTCTACACGCACATGGTCAGACCTTCAACAATCACGCGAATGTCCGTGCCTTAGAAACCCGTGGTGGGTACTATTCACTATTGCAAGTATCATGTGCCATCTACAGAAGTCGAGCAAGCTTGTTGGCTGTAGCTCTTATATAGAACGAGTAGTTTGACTGAGTGTGTGATCTAAAGACTAAATGTTACGCAGAATGCGCACGAATGAGAATACTCAAGAGTGTCTTTTGCCTCGGTCGGATGCGATAATGTACTCAAGACTGACACCCCGCTATAATTACCACCCTGCAGCTTTTTCCATCGCAACATCTTTAGACTGAAATATAGTCTACACAGGCGCGTGATCATGCAAGAGTGGGTTCACGGATGAGCGTTTGTTACAATAGCATGTATATTGAAGCAACGGATGTTCTGTAGGTCATGTGTCTTTCGTAGAATCGACATGATAGACAGGGCAGGCGTAACACGAGTCGGGTAACAAAATATAGCCGCGAAGAATCCGAGCGTTCAGATTATTCGTGGCTATATTTGGTTACCCGAATGAAGGGGTTCCTTTGCCAATCTTGTCCGCTCAGGTTACTACACCTAGTCCCTTTGACGCAGCCAGGACAATATAAAATAGATACTAGTATTTGAATCAATCCAGGCAGACTTTCCAACACAACACGCTTTTAACCTCTGGCTAAATCAAGAGTGAACTTTATGCACCAGTGATTATGCGAACGACAGTCACAGCACACACAAGATGCTTTGTCTGACCTGTCTCATGTCTGAAAGGTGACGGGTGAGGTGATCCAAGTTTCAACAATCAGCTCAAGTCCCGGATTGCGATTCGGACAAAACAAACATAGTATTTTTTTATAAAAAAACACAAATCATTTTGTAAGAAAAATAGATTTTTGGTTTTTGGTTTTGTCTTTGCCAACATTGTTTATTTTTATTATGAAAAACTAATACTATTTCTATAGGACCAATCAAAACCTATTCAAAATTAAACGTTGAATACCGACTCTCCGTGGAAAAGTTACTAATCTTCATTCTTCCTGGTCTCAGGCCATCGCCCCTCGGGGAGAAACTACTAACTAGAAAGTCATTTTTCGACATAGCCTGGTCAATTGGTTATTTCTGTTTCTTTTTTTCTTTTTTAAACAAACAAAAACACCAAAAGTAACAATAAATACTGCATGAGTGCTTGCACTGCATATTTTTAGAGCACGGCAGTTCGCACTGACGCACTTCTTGTGTCTTGTTGGCACTGATGAGTGTCAGAGTGATTGATGGCAGCCTTGTGGCAGACGACTATTCAGCCCACTTTTACCGCCGACAGCCGTGACTCTTTTGTGAAGTTGTGCCGCCCGGCGCAGAATGTCATTTCGCCAATTTCGCCAAGACCAGAGACAATAAAGAGTGATGAGATTTAAAATATCAATGGATCTATTTGTTGCTGTTTTTCTAAAAATAAATAAAAATGTAACCCCCACACGGCACAGTGCACACTCTACTGACTACACTACTATTTTTTTAAGAAGAGATAATTACAGCAAGTGGTGACAGTGTATTCGATTTACGATGTTTATAATATGGTATTTTGACAATCTGAGTATTTAAGGGATCGGTTGTAGTTCCTTTTCTCTTATCTCACGCAAAGCAGCCAACGACAATAACTTCAGCTTGACAATCTTTCTGCTAGCAAAATGTTCACTGACAATTCAATAGCAAAGACAAGTCCAGTGCTTTCCGCACAAGTTAAGGCAGCACGTCGGATGACTTTGATGGGAAAAGGTACTCTTAGGAGTGAAACAGAATCAAATCCATCACTGCCACTCGGTTTCTACGTTACCAAAACTGATATAGATTATGATCAATTCTGCCAAGACTTTACTGAGCGTGTACTACTCCAACCCGGCTTTGAACGTTTACGTTGCCGGGTAGAGAATGAAGACAGTTTCAAGCCAGTATCCATCAATGTTCATGATCATATCTTCAATGTTGACTTCGACGATCTAGAAGAGATGGATGACAACACACAATTAACCGACAAGGAGCGGAAACTGGCAGCATTCCTGGGTAATTGGACAACAGAGATGTTCGATCGATCCAAGCCACTTTGGCAGATTTATTTGCTGAAAAACTACATCGACGGTAAATCTGTGCTCGCATTCAAATGTCACCACTGCATTGGCGATGGCGCGTCCATATCTATCCTTATGACACAATTGTGCGACCCCAAAACCGATGTCAAAGAATCCTTGACAATGGAGCCCGATACAGTTCACAAAACTCTCGGCGATAATGTCATGGATGAGTTCACGGTTTTCGTAAGATTTATCGGCGCAGCATTGTTCTACATCTGGGGGTATTTAGTATTTCAAGTCAAATACGGCCTCGCTTTCAGTACTCCAGAGTTGCCCACCCAGCTCAAAAACCAGTTGACTGGAAAACGTCGTGTTGCTTGGACTAACACCATACAAGTCAGCGATATTAAAACAATCGGAAAGAGACTTGGCGGTACAGTGAATGATATTCTAATGGCTGCAACCGCAGGAGCTTTGCGTCGCAGTCTGCTTGAAAGTAAGGTTGGTGAATGGAATGATGCCAATTTGAAATCCTTGCGATTGGCTTGTCCAGTCAATGTGCGTGGTGCTGGCGATTACGATATCAATGACATAATGCACAATATGTTTGGGTTTGTTGTTACCAAATCGCCTATCGACGAGCCCAATCGCACTCGTAGATTGGAGATTGTTACGGAGAATATGCGAGCTATCAAACGAACCCCAGAGCAGCGATTGGCTTATGAATCTTCAAAAGTTCTGGCCCGATTCCCTCCCTCAATCCAGAAAGCTGTCCTCAAATTCACCAACGGGGCAATCTCATATATAAGCAGCAACGTCCAAGGTCCATCCACGGAGCTTTATATTAGTGGCGCCGAAGTTGAGTACGCCCTCGGGGTAGTACCTCCACCTCCTACTGTTGGCCTTGGAGTGGCGATCTGGAGCTACAATGGTACTTTGCGAGTGTCTTTTTCAGTTGATGAAGGTGTAAAATTCAATCCCTGGGATTTGGCAGCTAAGGTGGAGAGTGAGATCGCAGAATATTATCAAACCGCAACAGCACAGGACAAGAAGATACAGTAAATACAAAATGGTAAATACTGGTACATATTGTCAGAATGTCAGATCATTTTTAAAAAAACAAAATGCATAATAAAATAGTGGTAAATGTTTTGCACATATGTATTCGGCATTTGCATATTGAAAAATAGATTTTTTTTAAAAGACAAATATAACGTACCAACGCCAATATGCGTTCGTATCCGGTATCAAGGTACATATTCGTACAAATGTTTTTTCAGATTGGCTATACAAATATAGGTATAAACGTTTAGATTTGAAAAACGAGGTACGAACTGAGGTTGGTTCACCAACAAAAAAAAGTAAAATAACCAAAAAAAAAAGTTGTATTAAAAGCCTCCATTCCTCAATTTTATTGCACACTTTACTTTTATCTAAAGATCCCTGAACAGTGAACACAGATCTTTGAAGTATATCCATTCGGACCAACAATACATACATACATACGTTTAACAGCAACCAGAGAAACCATGTCGCAAGCGCAACAAGGTATAGAAGTAGAATTTATAAACGATGTTGCAAACTTTATTACGCTTTATTTCGTGTAAGTGATGTTACGATCTTTATTTTAACGTTTTTCTCGATTTGTGCCGAAGCAAATCGTCTATTATGTGCATATAAATCGTCCTGTGAGAGGCCGTCTTTCTCAGCAGCACTGTGTTTTAATTATTCTGTGAGTACATGCCAGTTGATTTACTTCTATGCAGGTATTTGCAAGTAGGTGTACAGTGTACATCAGTCACTTAAGTATTCTGTACTTTAAGTATTCTGTACTTGCAATGCGAGCGATCACGCAGTGCAAATTAGACTATATCTGGTGCTCAACAATCGTGTCGTATTTGTGCGTGTTAATTTAACCTAAGATGCCACATGCAGATCTTTTTGAAAACATTCCCTTCTGATTTCCGCCCTGAATATCTGTATTTCGTGCATTCATTCCACACATGCATTCTACCTATGATGCTGCCAAATAGACAACGCAGACAGGCGTGGGCTGTACCCGCCAATCGAACCGTATATGAGTGAAATGATTCAGATGGACGATATTCACAATGTGTATTGGGAAGGTATGTTTCTTCGTCCTGCTGAATATTTTATCTTTGCATATATCCAGTCCGCCGCAGTTCAATATTTGAAATGGGGTTATACTCATTATTATAGTCCGGGTCGTACTAACTGAACGTGCATGTGTTCTATACCCAACAGTGTGTGGAAATAAAGAGGGCAAGCCGGTCATCTTCTGTGTATGTATCCTGCCCACTCCTAGTGCGTGCGATCACGTACACCTTACAACCATGAATCTTGGTCCTGCCGTTTTATAGTATAGCTATACCACGCATTCACGCTTAAATACATTTTGAGTGGTTTGCGGATTAGATTTCTAGTCACCTCGTTGTGATCTATATGTAGGGTTAGGTACCCGCTTTACAAACTGATCCCTTCTGTAGGGTCGATACTAACCACACACTCCTTTATAACATTTGGGCCCATCTACTTCTCTCCGGAATATGACCTGACAACAGCACGGAGGACCGGGTATGTGAATTTGCACCTTGTAATAGCTGCGGTGCTCTTGTGTTTTGGTCTATTACGTATTATGGTTCTAAGCGATCTCTGTAGAGTACTTTGATCAGCTAGAGTGCAGTTGGCGGTATATATACATACATATATATATATATATATATATATATATATATATATATAGTACATATATATACATACACAAAATTACGTCCACACACACACATAAATACAAGTATAGTTGTGCGGTGGTATACTAGTCCATGTATATATATTCATTGGCAGCCAGGGTATTAGAGGAGACTTTAGTGACAACATTGTTCCGTTTGTACTTATGTTAGTATGCGCGTGCATTCGAGCACATGTTACAAATGAGTTCCTTCGCTTTGCCACAGACCACGTAGTGTAGTAACGGGCATTCTCGCGAGACCTACAGAATTCAACACCATCACTTCACGCGCCCATTGCCACCACTCACACGAGAGTATGGCAAATCGCATACTACAGCACATGAAGAAGTACTTTGCCAAAGCAAACATAACATATAAAGCCATCCCTGTACCTGTGGCAGTCACCTAAGATACTCTCATGCGCCTCTGTACAAAAGCATACACAACATAACATATAAAGCCATCCCTGTACCCGTGACAGTCACCTGCAACACTCTCATGCGCATCTGTATCCGCATCAGGTGGGGGTTGCAGTTCCTTCGATCGCCAGTGGTTCAACCCTGACAAGTACATGATAGTGTTGTTCGATCAGCGTGGTGCTGGACGGTCTACGCCTCACGCAAATTTGGGTATGTGCAACGGTGCTTTTAATGGGACTGTGTGTGTATAATGCACTGTACCCTACTTATAAGCTAGACGCTTAAACCTGGGTATGTGTGCCGGTGCTTTTAATGGGACTGTGTATGTGTAGTGCCCTGTACCCTACTTATAAGCTAGACGCTTAAATCTGGGTATGTGCAACGGTGCTTTAAATGGGACTGTATGTGTATAATGCACTGTACCCTACTTATAAGCTAGACGCTTAAACCTGGGTATGTGTACCGGTGCTTTTAATGGGACTGTGTGTGTGTAGTGCCCTGTACCCTACTTATAGGCTAGGCGCTTAAATCTGGGTATGTGCAACGGTGCTTTTAATGGGACAGTGTGTGTGCGTAGTGCACTGTACCCTATTTATAAGCTAGACGCTTAAATCTGGGTATGTGCAACGGTGCTTCAAATGGGACAGTGTGTGTGTAGTGCCCTGTACCCTACTTATAAGCTAGACGCTTAAATCTGGGTATGTGCAACGGTGCTTTTAATGGGACAGTGTGTGTGTAGTGCCTTGTACCCTACTTATAGGCTAGACGCTTAAATCTGGGTATGTGCAACGGGGCTTTCAGTACTCGAAAACTAAAGGGCAATTTGTTACGTAGTTCGAAGTGGGTGTACAAGCATTGGTAGAAATTGGCCACAACCCGATATTTCCAGTGGGTGTATATGCTCTCATGAAACATATCAACGAATACAGAGAACAACCTACATTCACTAACATAACCTGTGAATTGTAGAGAATAACACCACACAGCACCTCATTGCGGATATGGAGGTGATCCGAAAGAAATTGGGTATCGAGAAGTGGCAGGTGTTTGGTGGTTCATGGGGAAGCACACTGTCCCTGGCGTATGCTGAGGAGCATCCCGATAAGGTCACTGAGCTTGTTCTGAGAGGCATCTTCACACTGCGACGATCAGAGTTAGAGACCTTCTACGATAATAAGGGAGGTATGTGTAGGTATCAAAGAGTAGTGTATGGCACAGCTTGAGTGTTAGATGCGTGGGCTAGGCATAATAGTTATATCTTCGAAGCCCGTCGTATGTATTTGAGCCTCCGTAAAGTCTTTCTAACGTACGTGCTTGTACTATGACGTGTTTATATGTATTTATATCTACATATATATGTGTGTGTGTGTGTCACATGACTACGTATTAATACAACTGTACAGTTCCGCCTAACATATTGTGTGTATTTTTCCACGCATGCGAGTTGCGTACATTTCCTTGAGCACACAAAGAAACTCGTACACGAGGTGCATGACCATGGTTTCCTGTATTCAAAGACTTCGGTGATCCATTGTCTGACTCAATCACAGGTATTCAGCACCTGTTCCCAGAGGCATGGGAAGGTTTCGTGAAGCCCATCCCAGTCGAAGAGAGAGACGATATGATTGCTGCATACGGAAAGCGATTGTTCTCAGATGACGAACATGTGCGCCTCACTTGTGCCAAGGTACGTCTTCATCCCAGATCACTCTCTAACGTATTACAGACGCTTACTTACGGTATTGGATCACTCTGTAACATATTGCAGGCGCTTACTTACGGTATTGGATCACTCTGTAACATATTGCAGGCGCTTACTTACGGTAATGGGGCCTTTTATTAGTCACGAATGTACGCCTACTGTCTTGCAGCACTGTGTTAGATACGAGATTGTATTACATACTCATGTAGTGTACTGCCCTTGTGTCGCAACACTGTGTCCGATACGAGATTGTATTACCATACTTATTTAGACTACTGCCTTTAGGCCCCAAGCGTGTACATGGCACATCGTATTCTTACTCCTACATACAAGTGTACGTCTTTTACCTGTAGCTGATTTCACACACTTTGCCAATGTATCGGTGTCTATAGAATCCCCGTGAGCACCGGAGATATATGAGTGATTTGATATACCCATGTTGTGCGCTTTCACATGAACATGGAAACGCAACCTGGCACTCGAACACTTTAGACTCCTTTGCATTCTTTGCATTATGAGCTCGACAGTAGTTTTATCATGATTATAGTTAAAGTACCGTCTAATCCACTTACATTGCTCCTGCATGATCATCACTTTACAACGCCATGCAGGTACTGTCAAAGCTTTCATGATACTATTATCACTGTAGCTTGTTCCGTGAGTGTGCTCACCCGGGCACATATAGTGTTCGGTCATGGTGTATTTTCAGTCGTATTAGGGCGTGACGGCAGCATGTTGGTGTGGTGTTCCTCTGTATCTTGCTTGCCCCTTTTTATGACCTTGTGTGTTTCTGCCGTGGACGTAGATTATATATATGTATATTTTTGTATGTATGTATGTATATATATATTCATATATACAGACCTTATTGATACCGTGTAATCCAGTCGTTCTGTAGTACTGACGCAAGTACGCATAGCGTAGTATCTCAAATTTTTCACCAACACGTCTGGACCTAAATTCAGGACAATCAACCCCATCCCTTCGTACTCTGTCAATAAATAGGCCTGGTCGCAGTGGGAGGGTGCTACGTCGAAGCTTCTGCCCGATCCCAAATTCGTCGATCACTATGGAGAGGACAAGTTTGCCCTGGCTTTCGCGGTAGGTACCATCTTTACACTCAGCGCATATCCGACACTGCCCCTCTGTACACGCCTGCAGACGACTATCGAGTACGTTTCTATCTTAACAACTTTGCCAATCTGCATATGGTCCTGTGACGCTCGCACCCTTAATATCTCATTAGCGCAGGCTGTTAAGGATATGTGTATATACATACACATGTATATACTTGTTGCATACTCCAATACCTGTCTCTAATATAAACGCCGTATGTGCACTGATCCATGTTACAGCGTATCGAGTGCCATTACTTCAACCAAGGTGGCTTCTATCCCGAAGGTCATCTGCTAGCTAATGCCCATAAACTCAGCCACATCCCTACCACCATTGTCAACGGTCGCTACGACTGTGTCTGCCCTATGAAGACGGCCTGTAAGTGAGACCCTATTGTGCGCACTCTTATGCCCCTGTCTGTCAGTGGGTTCGTATGTAGTGCTGTGTTTGTGTACGGTGTCTATCCTGAAAAACTTCTTGTTTTTGTTTTGAAAATAGTTTTTTGTTCACCGTTGTGTATTTGACTGTGTCCTGTCAGTAGAATCGTATGTCACCTGGTATTCCACTGTATCTGTCGTATTGACACAGCCTGAAAGTAGAGCCGCATCTATCGCTGCAGAATTGGACTGTGCCTGTCTTATTGAGAATTCATGGGAACTCATTCTGTGTCTCTACATCCAACGGCGTGTATAGTGCATTCTGTGACTAAACATCCCACGACGTGTGTAGTGTATTCTAATGTTTGTATCGATTGATTCGCATTTTTTGTGATATTTCTGCTGTCCGACATGTGAGAAATGTTCTTAGAAATACAACTCGTCAGTTTACGCTTGAATTGAGAGTGTGACACGACTTTGTTTGTTCAGAGAAACTTACAACAGTCGTGTTACAGCCTAAACCATCTCTATTCTAAGCTAGACTACTGAATTCTATTTCGATAAGACTACAGGATTGTATTTAGATAAAACTGCTGGATTGTATTTAGATAAGACAGCTGGGTCGTATTTAGATAAGACTGCTGGGTTGTATTTAGATAAGACTGCTGGATTGTATTTAGATAAGACTGCTGGTTTGTATTTAGATAAGACTACTAGGTTGTATTTAGATAGGACTGCTAGTTTGTATTTAGATAAGACTGCTGGTTTGTATTTAGATAAGACTGCTGAGTTGTATTTAGATAAGACTACTGGTTTGTAGTTAGATAACACTGCTGGGTTGTATTCAGATAGCGATTGATATTAGTATCTTTGGCGGCCTTGAAGGATGTGCCTTGAGCTGTGCATCTACAAGAGGCCTGAGAGGACAAGAACTCGCTCGTCCCAACATTGACACTGCCCCATGACTACACAGAGAATGTACCATCAACAAGAGTCTATATCACACCCGGTGCTCAAGGAACACCGCAGTATTCGGAAGTGATAAGAAACCCTAAACCCTGACTAACTTGTACTTGTACTTGTACCTGATTTGATTGGTCGACGCTGGACGTATCAGGGGAGCTATCGAAACAGATGCCACACGCTGAGTTGTACATCATTCCAGACGCAGGCCACAACAGTCAAGAACCGGGTACAAAAGACCGACTCATCCGTGCGACCGACAAATACGCGGTAAGCCACGTGTTGTGTGTGTATATGCATAGCTTACCATGACATGTTCTAATAGATATAGGCCACTTGTTGTTGTGTATATTGATAGCTTACCATGACATGTTCTGGTGGATATAGGCCACTTGTTGTTGTGTACATGCATAGCTTACCATGACATGTTCTGGTGGATATAGGCCACATGTTGTGGTGTATATGCATGGCTTACCATGACATGTTCTGGTGGATATAGGCCACATGTTGTGGTGTATATGCATAGCTTACCATGACATGTTCTAGTGGATATAGGCCACTTGTTATTGTGTATATGCATAGCTTACCATGACATGTTCTGGTGGGTATAGGCCACTTGTTGTTGTGTATATGCATAGCTTACCATGACACGTTCTAATGGATATAGGTCATTTGTTGTTGTGTATTTGCATAGCTTACCATGACCATGTTCTAGTGGATATAGGCTACTTGTTGTTGTGCATATGCATAGCTTACCATGGTATGTTCTGGTGGATACAGGTAGGAGTATATGTTAGAGGTGTGCGTTTTAGAGTTTGTGTATCACTACCTGTGACGAGTCAAGTGTGAGTGTGATCCGCGGGAGGATGTGAAGAGAAACGTTTGTACCTGACCTTGACTGTGTGCGTTTGATACTTCTGCGTTCCCATCCAATATGCGTAGCTAATAGTTTAATACGTCTGTGGTAAGTCACACGTGTAAGCCAATTGCTTGTAGTACGAAATGACTGCCATTAGAAACATGTCTATCGGACCTTAACTGTGTGCGTTTAATTCTTCCGCGTTCTCATTCAATGAGTGCAGCTTATAGTCTGATACGGTCTGTGGTAAGTCACGCGTGTAAGCTAATTGCTTATAGTACGAACCGATTGTCAAGTAAGGTCTGCTGTTGAACAGTGCCATGACACTGCTACTGTCGAGGATTGATGATACCCACACTACTACTGTGATTCATCGGGCGCATAAGCCCTTTTGGTGGACACTTCTGTGTGGTCTTCTGTTCCGCGATGTGTTATATCTGGGTACGAGTGTGTTCACTCACAGTACGAGTGTGCTCACTCACAGTACGAGTGTGTTCACTCACAGTACAAGTGATTTCACTCACAGTACCAGTCTGTTCACTCACAGTATCAATGTGTTCACTCCCAGTACCAGTGTGTTCATTTGCATGCGCCCTTATCCACATTGCGCAGCCGCTGACATGCGCGGGTTTGGATTATTGTGAGATTCTGTACTGCAGCTCAACCGATAGAATATGACCCTGCTGCTTACCCCTCCTACCTGCCCTAATTCGTACTATTCCAACACCGCAGGATTTATAAAGTCCGTACCCGTTTGTTATGCCGGGGAAAGCATCCAACTGCTTATTGCAGTATGATGAGAGAAGAGTAGATTGCGGATTATCAACACCATAGCTGAACGTATGCGGGCTATGGAATGGTGTGGAGTTGTGTCGGTATTTAATCAATGCAAGCTTATGTAGGCCCCCAGGCGTGCAAGAATAATCCAAGCAATTCAAGCCGAAGGATCGAGTTGACCGACCGACAGTGCTTCTGGGGGGGGATACAGAAGCAAATTTTAGTATTAAAATTAGCTGTATAGTGAAACTTAGCTGAGGCATTACGAGTAAAAGACTTTATCGTGTGTCCGGTTTAAAATGAGATTACGCTTAGCTCACATCCGTCTTAGCTAGAGGTAGGTAGCTCTGGTCACTGAAGTTCGGTAGTCGGGTACTTGAGTTGCCGAGGGTATATCTAATCGAGCACAGGGTTTGAAAACATACCACGATGACTCAAAATCGGTGTGTGCCGCAACCAATAGCGATCTATTCATTGTGGTATGTAGGACCTTATCTGAGAAATTTACTTGTGCTAACGACGACTATAAATACACATTCACTCAATATATGACCTGCTAGGTTGTGAACACGCTAGGCATCGAGAATCATAGCAAAGTTACTAGTGTGCATAGCTACGACTGATTCCCATTTTACGTGACTAACACGGACGCGTACTGGCATCGCAGCCTGAGATAGTACCTAGGTACATATCGCCAGGTGTAGGCTGCGTATAAGTTAGAATTTTGAGTAGTGTCACCCTTTTTATATATTTTATCCCTCAGGACTACAACTGAGCTGTAGGAAACCTTGTATCCATCTTTGAAACGGCCTCAGTAGGTGATCGCCTCGAGGTATGTAACCTGTCAGTCAAATGGCGCACTCTGGATGTTCTGAACAGACTGAATGCAACATCATTGTACAGCAAAAGTGGCGCTACAATAGAAGAAAAACGTTATTGTCAAACTGAACTTGGTTGTTTTATTGCAATTTCATATTTAAACTAGCATGGACTCGGGGGAGGTTGCTGTGTTGTCGTCAATGATGCCCTCGGTACATGTCCTCTATGCAACAGCAACGGTTCGCTCATCACTGAACAGGCACAAATAAACCTGGTTAACAATAGCAACAGTAGAGATAACAACATTGATCGCCCTCCGTATCACTTTGAGCGGTAGCGACCGTATCCGCCGCGCTGAGCATGCCCAGCACGGAGCCATATGTGTTTCACAGGCTGTTCAATACATCGAGGTTCACCTTGATGTCACGACAGTGATCGAATTGACATTTACCATAGCAGACATTGAAGTTTCTCTACTATACATTGAAGACGGCTGAGTCAGCAGTTATGGCAACCATGCTTCGTATTATGTCCAGACGGCTGGCGGAGGCAATCATACGTAGAGCAGCATTGAAGGCGAGGTCGATGGTATCCTCCACAAAAGCCGACTGGCAGAATAAGACAGGGATCCAGAAGGGACTCCCGGAGGGAGTGTAGACGATGTTAAGATACGACCTATCCGTCTACGAATACCTGCAATACCACAGCATTAACTGTAGGTCCAGCGGCCGGCAGTGCAGCTTTGATCTTAGCGAGTAGTTCCCTGTAACATACCATTGTCACAACATGAGTGGCTCCAGCGCCATACGGGCACATCTGTGTTGACAGCAGCCAACCCTAGTTGGAGTATGGTCACCATATCGGCCGTACTCTCCATATTTGACATGAACCGGACTGAACCCAAGAAACGTTATCTCGGCAACGCCAGTCATATCAGAACACCTGACTCGAGTGACATTGTTAGAACATATGTTGTAAGTGTGAAAACGATCATGCAATGTGGTTGAATAATATGGTCGAATGACTGAAAAGGCAAAAAGACGAATCCGAGCAATATCACAGACGGTGAAATAATGGATGTGAATGGACCGCTTACTAAGGAATCTTTAGATAACACGAGTGTGTGCCGGACAATATGCAGCATCCAATCAATTAAAATATGACGATACAATGGTTTTAAAACATTGCTAGAGTAGACTAGTAAAAGTCGACAAGAAAATAAATTATTCAAAAGCAGTATTTTTTATTATATAGCATACTAGCAGGATCCTCGACATGCCAAGCAGTGCAAGCTTTGCGGCCAGCCGTATAACCTCTATCCACGGGCTATGTATCACACGGGAGCGGCCAGCAGGAGTGATCGTTTAAGTCACTACGATGCCAATGTAGTTGATAGCATCTAGTTGGGTGATATCAGGGAGAAGACACCGATTCGAGAATCTAGCACACTCAAACATCACACCTTTCAAGTTGGAACAGCAGTCTATGCACATTTCTAAGTTGAAGGATTCCAGATGAAATCTAAAAACTACACCGTAAGGCAAATCTTAGCAAGCTAGTGCGGAACAAATATCGGCATAAATATCGTACATATACATATACCTACATATACATATACATATACCTATACATGCATTCATATATTTATATATAT